TTTCTTTTTTCCTTTTTGGAATTTGGAAAGAATATTTTTTGTTGGGTCTTCATAGTGGCCCTTAGTTTTTCCAATAACTACTTATGACTAGAAATCGGGTCCCAATTGCAATAATAAGTTGATGACTACCTTATATCCCTTATATTTATCTATATTCTGAGTTCCCCAGGTGAAATTGCCTTGTCACGCTTACTCTCTTTTAATTTGCTGAATTGAAAACTTGTACATTTGACATCAGTACATTGCAGTCTGTTCTACAATCTGCTGATTGGATTGTGTTTCGGTACCTTCTTTTTGCTATTATATAACTCATTTTCCTTTTGTGTGTGTGATGCTGTGCATCCAGTGATGTCCATAAGTTACTTGAAACAGCTGTTGGCAATAAACCAATAGTTCCCCTTGCAAATCTCCCTGCATATTATGCTGACTGGAGTTGCTTTTTTGTAAAATGAGTGACCATATACCTGTGATCAATAAATAAAATAAATAAAATATTATGTTTACCCATTTGTACATTATTATTGCTGTAAAGCATATTAAATCTTTTCTCAGAAATCAAATACACTCAGTAATACATTTTTTTTGCCTATATGCTAAAAAAGGTAGACTTGGTAGGAGATAAGATGTCGTCTTAAAGTTTCCCTTTCATCAAAGGATTTTTCCCCCCATCAAATTAACATGTAAAAAGAATTATGTGGGTTTCTTGCTCATAGGTTGCCTAAGTTTTGCAGGAAAGGACTTGCTAAAACATTCTGGGTGTATAATGTAATAACTTTCTTTTTTTTTAAAAAAAAATGTTTATTAAATTTCCAAAGATTAAAATACCCAGTACAAAAAGAAACATAATACACAAAAAAACAAGACAGACACACATACAAAAATTTTAAACAAACAAAAACAAACGTATCAAATTTTCAATACTAGTAACAACTTTTCTGCATCGGTATCTCTAACCTATTTAACCTCTTTACACAAAATATCTCTATCTTAAACTTACATCCTTGTTTAAATTATCTTAACTTCTATTTACAATAATTTAATAACTTTCTATACAAATCTTATATGTATAATTTGTAATGGGTAACTTGAAAACTGGTGGATCCCTTGTGGGATGTTTCTTTTTCTGATGTTCGGTTCTGTATCATGTATTATTCCAGTTTAATTGTTTCATGTTGCATGCCATCCAGAATCAGACTGCCAGTATATACTGTAAATAAATTATCCAATCCATGACTAATGTGAATGCTGTTTTAGGACTTATTTCATTTGAGGATTTTTAGATATTATCTGGCTTACGGTAAAATAAAAATATATTTAATTTCTCTAACTTCTCAAGACAACTTCTCTTGTCTGTTTTGGAAGATCTCATTGCCTGAACTACTACAAGAAAGGATGCATTTATTTTCTGGTAATATTGGCCCTTTTTAAATATTAATATTAAATGGGCAAACAAACATAAAATCTGCAGTTCCAGGAACCACCACATAGTTCCAATATGATGCAAGTAATGTAGCATTTGTAAAATTTACAAAAGAAGAAATAGCTGCTAAACAGTGTAAAATAAATTTCAAATCTTAGACATGTATATCAATTTATCTCTCTCCCAAACGCAGATGGAATTCTTCATGGACTCCAGTGCTTCATTTTCCAAAGTGTTCAACCATAGTTTCAAAATGGATAAAAGCCTGTAATGATAGTCCCTGATCTATGACCACAATTGGGACCAAAGTTTCTGTTGCTAAGCAAGGCGGTTGTTTAAATGAATCACACCCAATTTCACAACCTTTCTTTTGCCACCATTTTTAAGCAAACCACAGCAGTTGTTAAGTAAATCACGCGGTCGTTAAACAAATCTGGTATCCCTTGACTTTGCTTGTCAAAAGCTAGCTGTGAAGGTTGAAAATGGCAATCATATGACCTTGGGATGCTGCAACCATCATAAATACCTGGTGGTTGCCAAGAAACCAAATTTTGATCATATGATTATGACGATGCTACAAGAAGTGTAAGTGTGAGGACTGGTTTGAGTCACTTTTTTCAGTGCCATTGTAACTTCAAAGAGTGGCTAAATGAATGGTTGTAAGCCAAGGCCTACCTGTACAGTAGAATCTCTGCTGTACATATACGTAAAACAGTGGTGCGCAACCTTTTGGGCATCAGGGACCGGTTCCGTGGAGATAGGTTTTTGCACGGACTGGAGGCGGCGTGGTTTCATGTGCTGCCTGCATCCCATGGATGGGGCTTCACTTGTTTGCGTGGCCCGGTTTCTGGCATGCTGTGGCCTGGTGCCAGTCCACGGACCAGGGGTTGAGGGACCCAGATGTGAACTATTCAGTTTATCCCAGGATTCTCTGTTCTGATAGCCGAAGAACAGAAGATAATATTGAAATAATTGCGCAAAATTTGGTTTCCTTTTTTCATAGGTCTGATTGGCGCTTCCTGCTTATCTCTTCTCTGTGCTACTCCTGCTAATTTTCTGGTCAGCAAAGGTTCCAATTCTAAGATACTTTGTACAGGTTGTACTCTTTTAACAAATGCCTTGGATAGTAACTGTTCACAGTTATGACAGTAGTGAAAAAGTAACTTTGCAGCTAATGTCTACATTTACAACCTTTGTAGTCTCTCTCTCTCCCTCTCTCCCCTCCTACCATGTGTGTGTTATGTTTGCCAGACAATAGGCATTGCCCTATTCCTGATCCATTTTTATTCCTTTTTCCCCCTTCACAGAATGGAGAGCTATCTCTTCCTGAGTTTTTTTTCTGCAGCACAACAAGTGCAAACAGCAAATTAACAGTCTGGGCTCGGTGACTTTAATGAGTTGATTAGAACCCTCCAGTTTACTGGCAGCTGCTGGCAGCAATTGACAAGATCCTAATCAGTTTCATATTAAATACTTTCTTTTGCCTCCCTCATGTGTCAGCCTGCTAACCAAGCAGCTGATGGTATCACATTCTTTTTGATGTTTATCTTCAATTGTGTGCCTGCTTTACTCTCTTGTAATCCTATCTCTTCCAGTGAATGCAAAAACATACAATTATTTTTTTTGCTAATCTAAAGGGCAGTGGGAAAATTTTTTTTTTGGCCTTTTAGCTGTCTTCCTCCTAGGTCAATTTCTAGAAACCTTCCTAGCTATTTGGATTCATTCAGATGGTTGGGGTTGTATCCTTCTGATGCTGTAAAGCAAAGGAAAGCTGAAGTAAAATTGTAAGCATGGTCATGGTCGTATGATTTTCCACTTAATAACCAGTTCAGTTAATGACCAAGTTGCTGGTCATAATTATGACCTGAAACAAGGTCCACTGCAATCTCTTTCCTAGTGTTAAGGAAAGCAGCAGTTCTACTTGCATTTGTGGTGATGGGCATAATTGTTTTTATAAAGTTACAAATGGTCTAAGGGCCCAGAAATAATATTTTGGAATTAATTATAAAGAATCTTTCCTGTGGGAAAATGCTTTTATTTTTATTTATTTATTTTTTAAAAAACAAGATTTTAAAAATTGAATGCTATAGGGAACTAGAAAGATTACAATTAAAGGAGAAGAACACTCAAACTTGACTTATAATTACAAAATGAAGCAAAATGTTTTAACACTGGATTTATTGAATATCTTTGAACAGGGGTCCTAAAGTTTATTTTAATACCGTGTTTCCCTGAAAATAAGACCCTGTCTTATATTTTTTTGAACCCTGAAATAAGCGTTTGGCGCTCAAAAGCCTGATTGGGCTTATTATCAGGGGATGTCTTATTTTGGGAGAAAAGGGTAGTGTCTGATTCTGTAGATAGACTATGTCTAAATGATATTATTGAAGGGGAACAAGTTCTACCTGACAATATTGAGACTGCATTGAAAATGGATTTTAAAATGACTACAAGAATGACATGGGAAAATGTTGTATTGGACATACAAAATAAATTGGCTGATGTCTTAAATTTAATTAATCATTAAATAATTAACTAAAAAGGATATGGAAACAACAAATCAAGAGAGTGACTAGGATAATTTTCCTGTATTGGCTTGTTGGAGCTTTGAAGAATTTTGTAGGAAGAGACAAAAAAAAAATGAAATCAAGTTTTACAACATTATTTGAAGGAAGTAAAGATCAAGATTAACAAAAAGGGGGAATATAAAGTTGGTTTATTTGAACAAAGCTAAAGAGGTATGTTATCTCTGGTGACCCTTGCTGGATTGCTTTGCGACATTGGGTCAGAAATGAGGGAGGTTTTATAGATTTTTTTAATAGATAAGAGATGGATTATGGGAAGAAGAGATCATTTGTTGCATTTTAAGAGAAGGTGATAAAAGATTAAAATTGTTTATACTTGTGAAAAGATGAAAGTGGGAAGTCACTTTTTTATATGTTATTTTTCTTTATACGTTTTTTATTTCTCTCTCTCTACTTTTCTGCACCTTTTAACTTTTTTTTTAGTTTTTGAAAACTTTGTATGAGTTATTATTGTTGCAGTTATAATTCTTAATAAAATTACTACATAAGAAAGATTCCTGTTTTTTCCAAAATCCTCATTTCACAAAGGGAAACGTTCCATTATGGATCCCCCCCCTAAAATAATTAAGTAAAAGCCCATGCTACTCAATTATTGGCAATTACTGTTGGGAGCTGGAATTTTGGTAATGAAAATTAGAGAAGGAATTAATGTATTGGTTAATAATGCCAATATACGGCTTATCTAAATATCTGATCTGTGGCATTAAGCTTGTTAGAGGAAAAGAAGAGGTGATTGTTCAGAAGTAATTGCATAATAAATCTTTGAAATTTAGGTAATTTATTTTTCATTTCTGAACAAGCTGTTCTCTGCACTAGTATTATAGCAGAAGGGAGGGAGGAGGGAGGGGGGAGAGAGAGGGAGGGATGGAGAGAGAGGGAGAGAGAGAGAGAGAGAGAGAGAGAGAGAGAGAGAGAGAAAATCCCATTTAAATGCAAAAGGAGCATTAAAAATAACTTGGTTAAATGCTCACAGGCTTTTTTCCACCCACAAACAGATATCGGTATAATGGCAAAGCAGCATCTTGAGAAAGGTCTTTTGGTACCAGATCATGTAATTACACGTGTAATGATGACAGAACTGGAAAAAATGCAAACTCAGCCTTGGTTACTAGATGGTAAGTGATTATCTTGGTTTTATTTTTAAGGTTAAAACAAAAAAATCCTTTTTCTGCAAGAAATCCTTAAACATTTCAGTAAAATATACTCTATCACGTTGTGCCAATAGTTGATACTACACCGTACCAGAATTAGACTGACCAATATTTTTAGTAGCTGGTAATAAAGTAGACAAATAAAAACATATTGAAAGCATCTAGGAATAGAAGAGTAATAGTTTGGCTTTTGACAAATATTTATACATCTATTGCTGTAGATAATTATCTACATATAAAATTCTGTTTTGTATATACTGTTATATACTTCTATTTTGCCTCAGTCAATTTGACTTTTAAGAGATATTTTACAATGCTGTGTAAAATAACAGAAAAAAAAACACAGAGTAATGCAATACAATCATAACCAAAAGATATCAACCTCTTCTCTCTTTTTAGGGCAAGTGTTATAACACCATTGTTTTCTGAATTTTTTTTGAAAAAAATCCCCATGTCTTTACCAGGTTTCTAAACACCAAAGAAAACACCAATTGTGCCTCTTTGGATAAACTATACCATATCATCCCCTTACTACAAAATGCTTGTTTCCAAGTGCCTACTCTGAAATTTCTGTCAGGTGTGAACCAACAACATATCCTCTCTGATAGAATATATTTGATAGGGAGTTTTCATTTGGAATTTTGAGATATGGTTTCTGTCTCATGCTTGGAGTACTTTGCAATTGTTACCTCCAATCTTCTCCAACATCTTCCCCCAAAATGGAAGTTGTAACTGTGGTTGTAAAACACAACCCTTCGGCTCCTTCATATTTTAAATTACTTTTTTTTCATCATTATTATTATTTTTAAAATTTGATTTATATGCCGCCCTTCCCCGGAGACTCAGGGCAGCTTACAATGTGCTCAGCAATAGCCTTCATCCTTCTGTATATTTATACAAAGTCAGCTTATTGCCCCCACAACTGGGTCCTCAATTTACCTACCTTAGAAAGGATGGAAGACTGAGTCAACCTTGAGCCTTGGCGAGATTCGAATTTGCAGTAATTGCAGGCAGCTTTTCTTAATAACCAGCTTAATAACAGGGTGCCTTAGGCCACTGTACTACCAAGGCTCTCTTTAGATTTGTCTTTAGCTTTTAGGAGTTTCTAAACCAGTGGTTCTCAAACTAGATCCTGAGAGCAAACATTATGATCTTGGGACCTAGTTGTGGATGATGATTCCTCAATCATCATCCACATCATCATCCAATCATCATTTGGAGTCCTCAGACTCCAAAGTGCTTTGGTTTATGCAAACTATATCTATTGATATTTACTCTATTATAAATTAAATTGAGAAATTTTTAAATATTTGATTTTGTGGACTCTCTGAAAGACTTTCAGGGACCCCCAAGTATCCCCAGATCACAGTTTGAAAAACACTGTCCTAGATTAACATTTTAACCACTAAATCATGTTAGCTGTCTTCTCATCCACCTAGAAGTGGTATATCAGTATCTTGTTTATCCCCAATGCTTGGGAATGTGACTACTGTAAGCTGTCAGATTCCTTGATCTGCCTTCTGTAACATGAAACAGTGCACCCTTCATGTGCTCCTCGAGCGTGACAAATAGCAACTGGTAGGTGGGAGGAGAGAACAGAGCCAAGATACTTTGCTTATAATGATATCATTTTATGCTATCAACATTGTTAGTGATAGCTCACTTTGGCTAATTTGCAACTTGAATTTTAAAAGGAGAAACCTCACCCATTTTCTTTTAAAAAAACAACAACACAGCCTTATTTGACTATAGATAACTTGAAGCTTCCACAAATGACTGCAGGAAAATTGGACAAACTGGATTTCAGAATCAGGATTTTGTCTTTGTTTAAAAAGAGTTCTAAGACAATGGAATAAATTTATTTTTAAAGAGTAGTATTTGCCCTTGTATAGCATAGAAGCAAATTTAAATAAAAAAATATATATCTTAAGATGGATAACTTTTGCTGTCTCAGGCTACCTAAGCCAATTAAAACGGGAACCCTGGTATCTTAATGGGAAGATTCCTTCCACATATTTTTAGAGAAAGGGCATAAGAGCTGCTTGTCATGTAGAAGGAAAAGCTTCACACTCAGGTACATGAACCAGATTCTCATTCGATTCAGTTGAATGAGCTGATGTAATGCTAATTCATTCTTAAACTGTAAGTTCTCATAGCACTTTAAAATATTAATATCTGGTGCTGTTAAAAAAATCTGTGCACTGTTTAACTAAGACATAGGCAGTGGTGGGATTCAGCCAGTTCGCACCACTTTGGGAGAACCGGTTGTTAACTTTCTGAGCAGTTTGGTTGTTGGAAGAAAACATTAGAGCAGAGAACCGGTTGTTAAATTATTTGAATCCCACCACTGGACATGGGTAATAATGGCTTCAGAGTGTGGGTTGGGGGAAGTAGTTGATTTTCTTTCATTTCTGGAAAAGAAATGGCCACATGAAACTCAGGATAATTAATGGAAAATGAGGAGAATTGTAAGAGTGAGATTCCCAGCTGCCCTAAAGAAATAATTTTAAAAATATTAGCAGAGATGTGGAAACAGGTATCCAAGTAAGAGTTGGTTCTTGACTCAGGTTAAAACTAATATCAGTTGATGAGACACTTGTCTATCAAAGTGGCTTATAACTGAGAGAAAGCTCTGAGCATTAATATATTTTGTGCATGCTTATGGTTAATAAATAGTTGCCTTTCCCTCTTTTTAAAATTAAAGTACAGATTGATTATTTATTTTATTTAAAACATTTATATAGCCACTCATTTTCCAACCAACTCTGGGTGGCTTCCAAGGACATTAAAGCAACAAATAAAATCATATGAAAATTATAAATCTTGAGCAGATTGAAATAAAACATTAAAAATAACACTTGGCTTGAATCACTCTGTCATCAGTGAAATACAGTATCTGATGGAATGGTAAATGTTCCCACCTTCCTATATAATGAAACCAGTGTGGGCTTGAGGTCCTGGGAACTGATGTACATGGCTTGTGGCATTTTTGTGAAAGGAGGTGCTGTTTCCTTATGAATGACTTAGATTAATGCACAATTTCTCTATATAGTAATTCTCACTGTTTTAAGAAAAGGCATAAATGAGTCAAACGTGCTGGTAGAAAAAGAAAGCTGTGTTGTGTATTTATAAGAGAAAAAGGAAAACATGTTTATTCTGTTTCATATTTTCTTGCCATCTTGGGTCTTTCAATAGTTGCCTTCTTTATGCGTACATAGACAAATGGGGCATTTTACACACCTAGGAAAAAGCAAAGCTTCTGGCTGTGTATGCTCTAAAATATTTGGATGTTCTAGAACTCAAACATGTCACTAAATTCAACTTAAAATGTAAGCTAGTATAAGATTACAACCTTTGGATTTATGCAACACAATTTGCTTGATTGAATGCAGAACCATCAGTTATTTTTGCCCTTTCTCTGAAGAATGAAGAGCCTAATGCAACTGACTATTTTTAGAGAGGTGTCATTGTAAATATTTAACTGTTTGGCCACTGCGATCAATTTGTAAAGCACGTGCTGTCAGAATTGCTCAGAAATTCATTGAACTTCTGACTACTGATTCTTTTCTGGTAATTAGATCACCATTTTGTCATATTATGTGGGGATCTTTTTGCCTTGGGAATTTGAGGGAAGTAGAACCGGTGCAATCTAGGTTGTTTTCTTCCATATGCAGTTTGGATTTTACTCATCCTGGCTGCTGCCAAGAAATGGATGGAGAAGTGATCACTCATGATTATAAATCATGAGATTGTTAATATCTTCTTACTTCCTTAAAGGAACTCCCCTAAAGGAGACTGAAGCTATCTCTTGATCTACTGTAGGTTCTCTATAACTATTGCCCAGTTTCCAATCTTCTTCTCTTTTTTTTTGCTTCAGTGCTTATTGACTACATTTTAAATTTTTATTGTATATATTTTATTGTAGATTTTATTGGGCGCATTCATGCTGTGGCCATTATGGAGCAGCCTTGTATGTGATACATAAGCATTGTAAATACATGGTAATAAATAACTGGAATCACTACTTTAAGGCTATAAAATAGGGGTGGTTTTTTTTGTTAACATTCCAAGCTCATTCCGCAATTTATTATTTTTAATTCACTTTTTCATATAGGTTTTCCAAGGACATTGGGTCAAGCTGAAGCACTTGACAGGATATGTGAACTGGATCTAGTGATAAGTTTGAATATCCCATTTGAGTCTCTTAAAGACCGACTTAGTGCTCGTTGGATTCACCCAGCAAGTGGCAGAGTATATAATATGGAATTCAATCCACCTCAAACCCAGGTAAGATAATGAACTATGATTTGATAAGAGGAAGGGTGGGCATTCAGATAATTCAGTATCCTATGCCTTTTATTTTCTAGATAGACTCACACTGATAGGTTTATATATTTAGATTACATATTTTGGGGAAATGAAAGAGAAGCAAAAACAATGGGAAACAACTAGGGGAGAAAGGGAGGGCAGGGGGAATAAGTATGGCCAGCTGAATGTCCAGCTCTTTCTAGAAATGATTTTGAAATACAGGTAGTCCTTTACTTAATGACTGTTCTGTTTATTTATTTATTTATTTTATTTTGAATTTGTATACCGCCCTTCTCCCTGAGGACTCAGGGCGGTGAACAGCCAAGTAAAAACATCAAGTACAAATATTAAAATACAGTTAAAAATATACATATATAAATTTGGCCCCATTAATTAAAAACAATAAACAAAACACTTAAAAACACTTAAAAAATTAGGCCAGCCTGGCTTGCTGGAAAAGGAAGGTTTTAAGGGCACGGCGGAAGGCACTGAGGTCTTGGATTCTCCTTATCTCTGGAGGCAGTTGTTTCCAGAGGGTAAGTGCCCCCACAGAGAAGGCCCTCCCCCCTGGGGGTCACCAGCCTACACTGTTTGGCTGATGGCACCCCGAGGAGGCCCTCTCTGTGGGAGCGCACGGGTCGATGGGAGGTCGTCGGTGGCAGCAGGCGGTCTCGAAGATAGCTAGGCAACCATTAGCTGTTTAGCAACCATTTGAAGTTAGCAAGGTACTTAAAAACAATTTTATGACAGGTCCACACACTTATGACCATCATAGCATCCCCACAGTCACATGATTATGGTTTGGACGCTTAGTAACCAGTGTGCATTTATAATTGTTGCAACATCCCACAGTCACATGATTGCCATTTTTATGCTTCATATCCGGCTAATGACAAGCAGAGTTAAGGGACTAGCCAGCAATACTATAAAAATCACAAGTTTTGCTCACATGATGTCTTACTTAATGCTAACGGATAATTTGTTTAATGATCACTGGTGTTTCATGTAACTACCATGTTATTTAGTGATGGAGTTGCCAGTGAATTCAGCAAGGACAATCTGTACTACTTAATGATTAGCTGGCAGTATGCTGCTGATTTCTATTAAACAAATAAACAGTCAGCCTTGGATCAAAGACCCTTAGATCACAACAGACAGAGATTATCCTGGTAATCAAAAAGAGATCTCAGACTTCAGCAGCACTCTAGGGGAAGTACTGACTGCCACAGCCTGCTGATGGGTAGCAGGTTAACTGAATTTATCTATCTGTGCACCCTTGGATGCCTAGCTCCTAAAGACTGTCTTATGGGATTACATTGTTGGTTTCAGCAGGCTATTCCAGGACTGTCTTTACCCAAAATCACACAAGTCAGCCAAATATTAATTCCAATCATTGGAAGGGGTTTGTATCAGTGGTGGGTTTCAACCGGTTTGGGCGAGTCGGTAGTGGCGATGATGAGCTGAGAGCAAACCGGTTCGGTCCTCCCGCCCGTCCCTGTGTTATACATCACTTATATTTGGTCATTTTTAGCCCAGCTGAAAGGCGCGGCAGAGTGGATTGCCATGTCTCAGCTGTTCCAAAATATATTGCGCTTGTGCAGAGCGCAAGATTGGTGTACATGCGAGAGAAGCGAGCATGCACGCGGAAGCACGCATGAAGCACCTGCATGAAGCGAACCAGTGGTTATACCGGTTGAAACCCACTACTGGTTTGTATCTCTGTATATATTTCCCAAACAGCTTGCCCCGGGTAAAGTTAAAAAGAGATTCCAAAACTTACATTCAAGAATATCTTTACATATCATCCCCATAGACTCAAATGCAGAAAAAAAGGTTAACATTTCAGTCAGAAATATAGGGAATTGTGACCTTCAGATCTGGGGAGATGAGCCATTAATCATATTGCAGCCTAGTAAATGGTGGAAATTCGGATATGTGTCTTTTTTCTTGAGAGGTAAGATCAATGGGAGCAAACTCTTAAGCTGTATGTAACAAGACTGTTCGGCAGTGGAAAGACTGATCATTGGGCAAGAGACAGAAATTTTTCAATGTGCAGGTTTTTAAAACTTAGTTTTCCACACAATGTAATTCACACCATATTTTAAACAGGGTATTGATGACATTACTGGTGAACCATTAATCCAACGGGAAGATGATAAACCCGAAGCTGTTGCTGCTAGACTAAGAAAATACAAAGATGCTGCAAAGCCTGTAATGGAATTGTACAAGTGAGTTGGAATCCAAACACCATACAAGCAATTTTTAAAACAATATAAGAAAAGGCATGGAGTGTGTCAATAGTCTTTTATTTTTTAAATAATATTTTATTAAAGTTTTACAGATATAGAAATAAAAATGACATCAGCTAAGAAAAATATAAAAGTAAAATTAAAAGTTCAGAGAGAATTGTTTTTGTTAGAAAAATAAATAGTAAGCATCCCCAATTAAAGAAGAAAAAGGAAAAAATATATAGATAAAGAAATGATTTCTCCCTTAAGAATAATCTCTGTATTTCTGTCTGCTGGAAAGCAAAAATTGGAATGGTTTATTTAGTGTCTGCATTAATTGCAAAATGTGACAATCTAGATAGGTTTTTAATATTTTCTATTGCAATATACAAAATATTTTTTATGTTTAAAACTAGATGAAAGTCATGGGATATAATACAAATAGTTTTGGATAACACAAACTACTGAATAATATTTTCCCTTTGTTCTGTTATCCTACATCAATTGACATGTGAATGTATGCCTAGATGAAAAATACTTCCATCTGAAGTATTTTATTAGAAATGCCCTTTATTTTCTTTGTTCAGTTACAAACATGTTATCTCTTTCACAACCTAAAAGACCTCTGGGAATTTAGCTAATGGCTTAATCATGATTACACACAATTTGTATCCAACAGTTGCTAAAAGACTTATATAATTAATACAACTGAAATGAAAATTAGCAGTTGATCATTCAACTATATTTCAATTGATTCTAAAATGTGGTTTTGTGCTAACTGAAGTGTTTAAATAAAAGATTCAATTAATGCAGTTTTTAGATTCTGGATTTAATGCTCCCATGTCCCCTCTTTAGAGTGTACAGTAATGTGTATTACCACATTTTCAAGGAACTGGAATAAAAATTAGCCTGGATATGTTTTGCAATCATCCTTCTAATAGATTCTAATAGAGATTGATCCTAGGTATCTATTCTCAAATCCTACCATATAGGTATTGCTGCTTTAAAATTGTGTAAATAATGCAAAATTTTTCTAACGATCAAGTTAAATGTCTGAAAAGCTGAAGGAAACATGAATTAACAGTTTAGCGTGTAGTGTCTTTTTTATTACCTATTTTTAGGTTTGTAAAAATATTAAAATTTATAACACAGATTTATATGTAAAGTTTGAAATGGCATGTATCATAAAAGAAAAAATCTACAAAACTAACTGAAAAAAAGATAGAAATAAAAAAAAACAAGCTTCAGGAAAGGGACTGGTTTTTAAAATTATCCTGAGAGATGTGTGATTTTAGGCTTAGATCTGGAGATATAACCTGCATATGACAATGAAGTAAAGGGGAAAGAGATATTACAATTACTACATTGGCTAAGACCCTGAGCTTGTCGATCGATTTCAGCGGTTCGAATCCCTAGTGCCGTGTAATGGGGTGAGCTACTTTACTTGTCCCAGCTTCTGCCAACCTAGCAGTTCGAAAGCATGTAAATAATGCAAGTAGAAAAATAGGGACCACCTTTGGTGGGAAGATAACAGCGTTCTGTGTGCCTTTGGTGTTTAGTCATGCCGGCCACATGACCACAGAGACGCCTTCAGACAGCGCTGGCTCTTCGGCTTTGAAACAGAGATGAGCACGGCCCCATAGAGTCGGAAATGACTAGCACATATGTGCAAGGGGAACCTTTACCTTTACATATTAAAATAAACCTACATTGGTGGTTGACCAATTGATAAAAAATATGTTTATGCATATACTACTTTTTTCTGTTTATTTAGTAAAATAAATTGCAACTTGGTTATTAAATAAATGTCCTTTTAATAAGCCTGTTTATTGGTATTCTGTTGATATCTACGATTCCTGGAATTCAGAACTAGATGCCTAAACTCATAAATAAAATTACTTATCAGTAAAGGTATGCACACTGACAAATATAAAACAGTCAGTCCTGTTTTATATTGTTACCTAATCCTTTTGGCTTTTACTAAAGAACACAGTAGAACCTGCAGTACTGGTTTCCTTAAAATCATTCATTTGCTAACACAAATGTCTAATCTCTATTTCAGAAACAGAGGGATTCTTCACTCATTCTCTGGAACAGAGACCAACAAAATCTGGCCTTACGTTTATACTTTGGTGTCTAACAAGATTCCTCCAATCCAAGCAGAAGAAGCTAACTAAGCATCTGTAAAATGGGAATAAGAATTTTATGTTGTTGATTTTGGTCTTGTTTCTGACGTGCTGTATCTGTGCTCTGCTCTTTTTTTTAAAGAGTAGCTATTCTCTCTGATTTTACTGGAGAATAGTTGTGGAACTCCATCTTCCGATGATCACTCTGTATGGAATTCTACTTCTTGGCCTATAAATACTTGTGCATGGACTTCAAGTAATTGTAATTGATACGCAGAGGCAGTTACACCTGAGCAGTTCTGTAGAATCCATTGTTCAGTCTCTCCAGCTACATTTAGATCTTCTCTGTATTCCATGTACATTTTCATGGATCCTTAAATCTAACACTCCATTTAAATGGAAACACACAGTATTCTAGGTGTATCTTCAATGCGGTATAAGCACTGTGGAAAATACATGCATTATGCAGGTCAAATAATGTATGTTTTGAGTACTTAAAAAACTGAGAAGAATCATGGTGAATTCAATCTCTCAGTTTGTAAGAAAACCTTAGATAAATATCTGTTATAAAATGCTGCTGTATAATAAAATTAGACTTTTAAATTTGAGTGGCGTTAAGCCTTTCTTTGTTGAAGAGCAGACCTTTTCTAGTTCTAAGAACAGTTGCACTACATGGTTAGTAGTTTTAAAACTTTGATTTTATAATATAGTACAACTAGTCACTAAAAGTGCAATATCTCAATTTTTTTGCTCCTGTAAATTTGTCCCAATTAACCATCAACCAGGCAAATGATTATGTGGGCAAACATAAGCCAGACCCAGTCAGTTGTTGATATAATAAGTAGCAAAAATCCATTGCTGTAGAGGTGGCAAAATAGATATTTGCAGTTCTATGTCTGCATTTTAGAATTGTCCAGGTAACTCTTAAAGCTTGGTCACATGTGGAAAAAATGTATATCAAGAGTATGATTTAATTTAATAACAAGAAGGGAGATTTCTGACTTTACTGCCTATATTTCCAGCATCCCCTTTTCCTTGCTAATTTCTTCATCAGCATCTGACTGAGACTACAGGTAAGAGAAAGCTTTGAATGAGTAAAAACAGATCTATCTACTGCAGGAGTGTCAAACACATTTTGTTGCGTTGTCGTCACATGATATATCGGGACTTTCTCCCCCTTTGTTAAACTGGGCATGGGCAGTGCGTGATGCATCCGGCCTGCGGACCAGGAGTTTGACAGCCCTGATTTACTGAGAACCTATTCCTTAATATTCACTCTGCTTTTACAATGTTGTTCTTGTGTTTATATGCTGCGATGGTGCAGTTAATGTGAGTATTGACCAAATTCCTTCCAGCCGATTTTAAATCAACAGTTGAACAGATATATTTAACTTTTAGTGTGTTTGTTCAAACTTATCTTTTCTCAAGGGATCAATTTCTACTCTGCAATGAATATAAGAAAACTGGGGCACTGCTGTAGGAATCTCTACAGGTTTTGTAGGATTCAACATTTTTTTTTTTTTGATAGATGGTGCTAATGGTCCTTGTTGGCCCATGCTAAGTCCTTGGGAGAGTTGTCCTAAAAAGGTCTATAGAGGATGTAAAAACAGCATAACTTTGCTAAATTGTCGCAAGTTGCCTTATTTTATTCAGTAGAAAAGGGATGAAGTGAGGTGGAAATGCATTTGAATAAATTAGCCTTTTACGGAATTGTTATTTTCTCTTGATGCTTTTGATATCAAAATTATGCTTTTTGATGCAATAGAATTAATTTCCACATATAATGCCATTTTTTCTGCATTCCTACAAACACACACTATACATTAGCTGATACTTGGGGGTGGAGGTGGGAAAATTAATATTTTCCAAATTGAATTGGCAAAGCCCCAGTGTTAGTATAGTACATTTCAAACTGTTAACTATAAGAACTTTGTGTAGTTATAACCCTTCTGCATAAATGTTATGCAGGAAGATATGCTACTACACAGTTCATTTTTTTATATCTTTACAAGTTTAGGGTGACGATCTGAACCAAATCATATTCTGTAAGCATATTTTTAAGTACACTTAAAAATCTTCCATGATTGGGAAACTTGTTCCATCTATGTCAGTGATTAGCACCCTTTTAATAGGCCTACCAGAGCTTGGTTGCAATAATTAAATAATCACTAGATATCAGCAGATGAAGAAAACTTACAACTCATTGCTGCCTTCTAGTAGTAGTGCAGATTTTTGAACCTACATCTGGTAGCGTTTCCTATGAAGATCTTCATATTGGCCTTGTAATGATATACCACTCATTTTAGAGAAGATACATTACTACATTATATAAGACAATAGCAGGAAATTGGTTTTCATTTTTGTAAAAAAATTATTTTTACACAAAGCATTAAGGGGGGGAACCAGGCTGCCATTCTATGTCCATACTTGCCCAGGAGCAAATTTTCTTGAGTTCTGTGGATCTCATAAATTGACATTATGCAAGGTATTGTCCACTTGCATTTTTAAACTTTACACACAGATATTGTTACCAATACACTATTTTGTTACTTGTTAATATTTGATTTAAAGAAGTACTCTAGCAATTACTTATGTGTGAGTGTGCAAATGCAAGTTAGTTACTTGCTGTTGCATTCGTTGTTTTCACAGAGCAATTGAAGTAGAAGCCAAAACATTAAGAGCCATTGCATCACAGTAAAGTATTCTCAAACATTTAAATTATGAAGCTTGTTCTCATTGCACAGTGTGCATGAAGTCATGTATATGTCAAACTTGTAGTATGATCTACTTCAAAAGCAAAGCTTTGCTTTTGGCTGATAGCTACTTCCGCATATCACTGCAACCACCATACTTTCATTTATTACTGTCATTTAAGTCTCAAGCATACTGTTGAATTTTTATCTGTTTTATACCTTGAACCTTTAAAAACGTTGCCTTTATATTCCATGCTGCATTGCCATTTACTCTTTTTTTTTAATGATGTATAAGCATTTATATGAAGCAATGATTGTTGTCATGTTATTATGGAAGAATGAACATGTCTGAAACCAGCCCAAGGTTTTTACTTTGTAATGAAAAATAGAATGCCATTTAGATTGATGCTAGTTTACAAATTGGTTGTTCTGAGTGCTTCAATGTCTCTGACAATTCATTAATTGAAGATTACATATAATTAGGTGCAACCCATCTACTGTATTTTAGCATGACTGGTTTTAGAACTTCTTAAGAAAACAAATTATCCATCACAGTATACATTTGGAAATATAGCTTTTCAAAGGTATTTTGGCATTCTTTTAAAAGACCTTGAATCATTTCCACCAAATTCCATTAACTCTCACTGTTGGTACTTCAGGGAATTATTTCCTTGATGCTACCAATAAGTGAGATTCAAAGCATCGCCCTTGTTGCAGTTTTATAAAGTTTAGAAATTCAATGTAAGCAGCATATTTAAGAGGAAAAGGAAACCCTGTTAAATATTATGTATAGCTTAACTCTTTTGAAGGCAGCAAAGCATTGGCACAATAAGGTTTTTATGTACATTATGATGCACATCACTCAGAATCATTTGCAAGATGGGCAGCTATAGTAATCAATTCAATTCAATTCAATAATAAACAAGATATGTGTCTAATTTTATTGCAGCTTTTCACTGTAGAAGGAAGTTTCACTTCCTCCTATCCTATTCCTACTCAATGTCTAATGTAACCAAGGAAGAAATGATAAAATCCTCTCTAGTTTCCAAAGTGTAGATTTCAGTTACTGTTTCTGGAGAAAGTTCTCTTTGTTGGCTTCCGTGATGGTTTATACATTGCACTAAATCAAGATATAATGGCCTGGTTCAAATGTAACCAACCTAAGTCATAATGTGTGAATTCACATATCTTAGCCCCAAGCAAGCATTTGGTTTAGCTTTCTACTCTGCCACAAACTTTTTTCTGCTTGGTGTCTAATTAGTGTCAGTTGATTATGAGCATGGACCTTAAATGTAGGGCTGAGTATGCACATTTTTTTCTGTGCTCCAAGCACATAGTGAAAATAGCAGATAATGCCACAAGGGATTTGTGATTTTCTGAAGAAAGGATGGACAGAGTTCTGATCTTAGGTGGATTATTAACTTGAACCGATTCTATATTTCCATCCATTGTTGTTCTGTGTATCATAATAGCTTGAAGAAAAATCTTCCAAAGAGACTTACAAAGTGAAAAAATAAGTTTCATTTGGAAGAATGAAATAGGGGAGTCCAGTACATATATCACTGGATGCCGTTACAGCATGTAACTGACCTTTGTTAATCTTGAAAAGCTAACTAGAATCTGACCCGTTTAATGGTTGGATAAGAGATCAACATGATATGGCTGTAGGCTAGTTTGGGAAGTTGGAAAAGCCTACTGAAAGAAGGCAATAGTAAACATCTATCTTCCAAGCAAAGTACATGGATATTCCATCAAGTCATCCACTGTTGAATTTCCCTTGAAGGAGAACATTTACACTTAGATATTGGAGGAGAATAGAAGCACTCTTCTGACTCTATAAGTCTCCAAAATTCATATTTATGGCAAAGGGGTAATCTATGAACATATTATATTGCTTTATGAATCTTCTGCATGTATATGTAATTAAATACATCAAAATATGTTACAGGATTAAAGTACCTAGTTGATGCTCTGAATTGTACACATGTCAAGGTTCCAAGTAACACCCCCAATATTGGAATATTCCAATATATGGAATATTCAGATGCTACTGTCTCCTTGTGATACCTTTCCCCCCAAATTATTACCTTCTGTAATTTACCATCATTTTCAGCTCACAATGTCAGCACCTTACTGTGAATCGGATGTGTTTTCTAAACTCAGCAATTGTTATATAATGACTGTATAATGAGATCATATTGGAACTTAGGTGTTCTTTGGTTAGACAAGTGTTGTAAACAAATTTTGTCTAGAATAACATCATGGGAGATGCAGTTTATTTCTGCATTGCATAGCCTTCTCTCCACTCCCTCCAAATATTCCATATAGTCACTGTATTAGCATTTGTTGTGCGATAATAAATTATCTTTAATTTAGTCCATGGTGTGAGAAGTGTGTATTGTGTAGATAAGGTAAAGGTTTCATCTGTCTAGTTGTATCTGACTCTAGGGGGCAGTGCTCATCTCCTTTTTCTAGCTAAGGAAGCCAGCTTTGTCCAAAGATGCTTCTGTGCTCATGGGCTGACATGACTATATGCCGAGGTGCACAGAACGCTGTTACCTTCCCACCTGAGTGGTACAGGATCTATTTACTTGCATTTGCATGCTTTTGAGCTGCTAGGTTGGCAGGAGCTCACCCCATCAGGCAGTATTTGGGTCTTGAACTGCCAACCTTCTAGTCAATAAGCCCAGTGTCTTAATCTTTAGGCCAACACGCTCCTATTATGTGGATAGATGAGTGTAATAAAAACTGGCAATGTGATTCCCATTTGCATAGATTATACCTGCAAACCTTTGTTTCACAATTGGCCAGTTCTGCCCTGACTTAGTTTCAATTTTGATTCAGTACTTCTAATTAAAAAAATAAATGGAAACTTGGTGTGCTTCACCTCCAACACTGTGTTTGCTTATAAGAATGCCTCTTGACATTATCTTAGCCTCCTGGCTATTCCTAGAAAACAAGAATGATGGGAAGCTGCTGATCAATACCTGATCTCTAGAAGCGTGACTTTCTGCCCTAAAAAACCAAACAAAAACAAAAGTATAATCTTTTGAGAAGTATAAATCTTTTGAGAAATAAAGATTTTCAGATTCCTTGGAGGGAATAGCAGAAAGCAACCTTGTTACTTTGCTTCTGTTCAATGTACGTTTTGTCCCGTCTCCTCTACCATGTCAGCCATTTTATAAGACGATGCATGGCTCTCAAACTCCATATGTGTGGACTGCTATACCGCAAAACGATTGCTTGTCCCTGGTTAAATAATGAAAAGCAGGTCTGGTTTTCAAAATATTTGAAAATATAAGATTGAAAAATGATAAGATTAGGCTGAATCTAGAACATACTGTTGTTAAAGACTCATCCTTACGCAGTTCATCCTGCTGTTCCTTGCAATGAACAATAAAAGTCAAGAATGGCATGGTATTAGTTGGTATAGTGATTAAGGCACCTGGCCAGAAACTAGGAGACTGAGTTCTAGCCTTGCCTTAGACACAAAGCCAATTAGATGATTTGGGACCAGTCCTCCTTTCTCAACCCTAAGAAGCAAGCAATGGCAAACCTGTTCCAAAATATTGCCAAGAAAACCAGATTTTATTTATTTATTTATTTATTTATTTATTTATTTATTTATTTATTTATTTATTTATTTATTTATTTATTTATTTTGTTGAGTACATATTAGATAATATATATAAATATATTACATATATGAAATGAATACATTTCATTATGTATGAAATGAATACATAAAATGAGTACAATTAACGGGAACATTAGGACAGGGACGGTAGGCACACTGGTGCTCTTACGCTCTTATCAAGATTATTGTCAGGCAGTTGCCACAGTCAACACTGACTCCAAAACATTCACACAAATCCTCACCCTTCTTACATTGCAGCCAATGATCTAAGAAGGAACAAGTGATTACAGCAAACAATATTTGCTTATGTCACTCGATCCATCACAATGCACTGGAGAAGTGGCCAAGAAAGATACATCAGTTCTAAACAAATATCATTTTGTTCCTTTGGATGTGGTTCTTTGTGAAAAGAAAAAGAACCTGAAAAATAAATACATACGCTGTATGCAAAGATAAACAATGACAAATCATGGTAGATAATGGTTTGCCAAATTCAGAACTGGGCCTTTGCTGGAATGCTTCAGTTCACATTTCTGATAATTACACTTAATTACACTTGTACATAATAAGTCAGTATGGATCCACTAATGGCTTAAAATAGCAGTGGATAATTGAATTCTTAGTATATGATGTACATACTAAAAGAGGAAAATAGATTTTTCAGTTACATGTTTACATGATTGTACAGGGGAATTAAATATGAAAGGACTCAGAACCGTGACAGACATCTGAAATCAAAACAATTTGAGAATGGTACTTTGAATGACACATTCTCCTATTAGACTTACATTTACCTCAAGTCACAGAATACAGAAAAAGGAAGGGGGAAAAAAAGGAAATCAATAATACTGTATTTGAAAAGTTGGATTAAATCTGCACTTGACAATACTGAGTTTAAATTATAAAGATAAAACATTAAGTTTTCAAGAATCATATTTTAACATAATAAATTTTATGTGTCTTTGTGAAGCCTTGAATATTAGATGTCCTCACTGAGAGGCCTGGAAATTATAAAAATGTGCATGACACAACTAAAAGGTCAAGAGTCAAGGAGGGTAAAAGCAGAAAAAAGCATAAATAATCTATTTTGGAGAATTACAGCCAAGGTAACACGTGACCATCTGCCAAGGGATGTTTCATAGCATCGCATTTGCTAAAAGTTGTTTCCCTTTACATGACTGAGGGACAGTCTGAGGAATAGTGAATATCACCATTTGTCTCTGGAATAAAATAGATGGTTTTTAATTTTGGAAATTTTGTTAATCCTGGCTTTCTAGTAATAGAAACAAACCAGGACTTAATACCAGCTTCGTTTTTCTACTAGAACATCTTTAAAACTATAATAGACACATCTCCTAATACAGGTAGTCCTTGACTTACAACAGTTCATTTAGTGACTGTTCAAAGTTATAACAGCACTGAAAAAGTGATTTATGACTTTACACTTATGACAATTGCAGCATCCTCATGCTCGAAGTGATCAAAATTCAGACACTTGGTAACGGCTCATGTTTATGACTGTTGCAGTGTTCCATGCAACAGTGAATGCAATGTGAATGACAAGGAAATATTCATATACTCAACTATTTTCAGCTTTTGAAAAGACCCCAAATTTACCTTAGAAACTTTCTACAATCAAATAGAAGTGACTTCACCTCTGTAGTACTTTGTATGTACTGCTATGTATCTGCAATTTTTTAAAAAATGGAGCTGAAAGTATTTTATTTTTTTCACCATGTAAAAAAACCTTTCATTTTGTAGTATTTATCAGACTATCAATGCTTTATTAAGGGTACCCACATGTAATAAGGAAGAGAATTCTCTGTAGAAATAATTGTATGCGCTTCCTGCCATAAGCAAGAATAATGTAACACTTCAATGCTGCAAAATTCTTTAATTTTTTACTGATTTAGGAAGATGCATAGCAAATGTAACTTTTTCTCTGTGCTAGATTATACTTCCATATAGTTGATAAACATGCTAGTTATTTTTTAGACCCAGGTAAATTTTAAAATGTTTTGGAATAGTTTTACAAGAAAATGACTGAAAATAGCATCATGATTTCTAAATCACAACTCAGCATAAGTCAGAATTTGATCAATCTTGACACAGCAAAGCCTTAGGGCTCCTTTTCCTTTATCTGATGTTCTTGTTGAGATTAACTAAATGAGCCAATTATCATTTTCTTCTTAAATGAACAAGCGAAACAGCATCTATTGAAATGAACTGAGAACATCTTTGACTCCAGATCCCGTTCCATGCCAGATTTTATTAAATATGTTATGTCTTCTTGCATCCCATTCTTCGTCTGGTTCTCTATAATACAAACTATAACCCAGGACTGTGCATCTCTCCCTACAAATTAGCATCACATTACTACCCTGGATGGAGAAACGCAGCCTTTGTGACCTATGACTGGCTGTGAATGACAAATCAAAAGTCAGCATTTTAGAAATCAGCTGGGTTTTTATTTTTTTCCCCCAACTGAACTGCAGCAAGGAGAGGAAAGGGAGCATGAAAAAGTCAGAAAATAAAGGTAAGGAAAACCTATAACTGGGAACATATCCAATGTTACAAATAAATGCCTGGATGTATGTATTGGATTATAGTGTTTACTGTTCCTTCTGCTGAGTAACCTTTTTTAAAATGGCATTTTAGAATTCTACATCTTGAAAGCAAAACAAGCTTTGTTTAGAAATAAATGCAGTTATATAATGTATAGCAGAGTATAGGCTGTGCATGGTATCTTACCCCAAATCTTCGCATTTGCTTTTTCGATAGACAAATTAGTACCATTTATTATCTATTTTTACGTATCTATGAAAAATGATTTCTGTTACTGAAGATGTCTTCAATCTGAGTTTGTTTGTACTTTAATGCTATCTTTATTACTACCAGCCGAGAATAATTGGATGGCTTGAAGTTTAAATAGCAACCTCTGATCTGCAGGAGATGCTTCCCTTCCCTTTAAAAGAAAACACAAATAATAGAAATGCTAAGTTTTGTTGTTTTTTTTTAAAAAAAACCAACGTTCTGTCTGGATCATTTTTATAATTGAATCGGTGAGATATTCTGAGATCAAACATCTTCTCTTTACAAAGCATATCCTTAATTCCAAATCATAGATAATTTCAAAATGCAACCTACATTAATCCAGCTCTGAAATTCACAGCTGCTCCAAAAAAAAAAAAAAAAAGTAAAGAAAGGCTGCTTGGCAGAATGTAGATATGCAATGATGTGAAATAACTAATTTATAAAAAATAAATAAGGCTAGATTGCTGTCCCCAAATTTGGTTAGGAAGAGCTGGGCCTTTGCTGTCAGGCTTCCTATTTATAAAAATTAAATATTCCTCCAGCAAACAAAGCAATCGTATTAATTAAGATAGTCAAGGCCTCCATCTTCTCGTGTTCCTTAAAGGGGAAGGGAGCTGTGAATCTCAACCCCAGCTTCATTTTCCTGATGAAAGCTCTGTCATTCTGCTAATTTAAAGGCTGCCAATAGCAGCTTGAAGACAATGCAGAGATATGCTAAATTTAGCCATCTCTGTGTTTCTTTTGGGGGGGGTGAAGGTGGCAAGATGTGCCACACAGCTGAGACAGACTGCCTTTATAAATCTCTTTAATGAGGAACTCTAGCATTTTGCCCTTGATGCTTGTTTGTTTTCCTGCATGCCGATGGATGTGCAAGCAAATTGCTGATCCTTTCTGTGCAGAGCTTTTATCCAGCTGAAAATTAATCCTCAGAGTAACAAGAAGGCCCACATATCATCCGCTGTGTGAATCTACCAGCAATTCCTCCCCCTCCCTCTCTTTTTCTAAGCAGATATCTTCAAGTCATTTGTCATGGTCAAATATTCTCCCCAAAACGATTCTTAGCTTGAGATGGAAATAAAAATAAATTTGAAAGTGTGAGCGAAGGAAGTATATCTCTGGTGATGATCTGAATATAGGTAAGTGAAGGGCAAATGATTTTCTTATCGGATAGCAATCCAATGTCGTGCCCTCAAATGTATTGGGACTACATCTCAGGAACGCTGGAGGAGGCCGAGACAGACACTGCAGGAAAGCTTTGCTGCCCATTTGAGCAGAATTGCACCACGAGTCTTATCTTTTTCTCTCTCAGGCATAATAATCTCTCTACCTGGCATAATACCACATTAACGAGGTCAGTGAAGAGGGTTGCTTAAAGAGTTAGTCCTGGCAGCCAAATCAAATGGCAGTGCTTCTCTGGAGCTGTACCATTTCAGTTGCCAGGGGTGCGCATTGGAAGATTCCTTTCCAAATTCCGAATCTTTTCTGCCTCTACAAAACCATGGCATATTCAGAGAAAAGCTAACGGTGGTAACCTCATCTCCCTTTGCTTTGCACATATCTTTGCATTGATAAGGCTCATCTTTCCCTTGTGATTTTCCAACAAGGATTTCTATGCAGCATACTCACCCTCTCATCTGTAGTGGTACAAACTCGATGGTAAACATAAAGGTAAACGCTCAACTTTTCCATGTAGTTTTCCTGGCAACGATACAGAAGATTAACAAGAATCTTTTCTCAGTTTTACCAGCCTTGGATATGTTTCCTTAGTTTATAGGCTTGGAATTCCATCTTTGTCACTTCTTCAAAAGTTAAACAAGCCTAACCGTGCTTAGCTTTTCAATGAAAGTCAACCAGGTGCTACTTTTCTAATGGGGTATTGAATATGGTAACCATATTCAATCTTTTTTGGGATTTCCAGGGAATCTTCCCTGCTGGAAAGGCAAAATAGTTAGTATTTGCGTGGGAGGTGGGGTCACTTTCTCCCTAGCATGGTATATGACTCATGGACGGTTTAACAGAAACTTTCCTAGGATTCTGGGAGGTGAGTCATTTGCTTAAGCCATCTGGCTGCATTACATAAACCTATTCCTTTTTATGGATGCCTTTGACAAGATAATTTTTCCCTGCATTTTGTTAGGGTCAGAAGCTACAATATGGTTATATGACTTGAGTTACATAATTAATTACTGAATATATAAATGAAAATGACATGGAGTAAATGCCCCTAGGATTGCATGATTGGGATATGATGCTGGATAAGCATCATTTAGCCCCATAATTCTTTAGGGAAGCCACTAACGGATGCTATTAGCAAATGATAGATATATTTTACTCCTTCCTTTTACTTCTCCAAACCTTTTAGATAATAATGAATTATATTGCCTCTCAGTTTGCTCTTCTGCAGGCAAAATACATGCAGTTTTTAAAATCATTCTTGATAGAACTTTTCCTTCAATTTTCTCAAAATATTAATAGTCTTTCCTCTGAACTTATTGTGGTGGTTGGTTACACAGTCAGACAGATGTTTAGACTGGATTTGATAATTATTTTATTTTTATCCTTCCTTTATTTTTATTTATTTATTTATTTATTTGTTTGTTTGTTTGTTTGTTTGTTTGTTTTTTCAACTTGTATGCTGCCTTTCTCCGAAGACTCAAGGCGGCTTACAATGCATTTAAAAACCATATATAAAAACATTAAAAATTAAAACATTAAAAACAATTAAAACCCATTCACACCATTCATGGCCGGATTTCGCCAAATCGCAACAGCGAGATCAACGGCCCCAGGCCTGCCGGAAAAGCCAGGTCTTCACCGTTTTTCGGAAGGCCAATAGGGTGGGGCTGGTCCGGATCTCAGGAGGTAACTGGTTCCAGAGAGCTGGGGCAGTCACAGAGAAGGCCCTCCCCCGCGGGCCCGCCAGCCAGCATTGTTTAGCTGATGGGACCCGGAGGAGACCAACTCTGTGGGATCTTACCGGTTGCTGGGAGCTATGCGGTAGAAGGTGCTCTCGAAGATACCCTGGCCCTGAGCCATGTAGGGCTTTAAAGGTAATAACCAACACCTTGAATTGTGACCGGAGACCAATAGGGAGCCAGTGCAGCTCACGGAGAATTGGTGTAATGTGGGTGTACCTAGGTGCACCCACGACAGTTCGCGCGGCTGTGTTCTGGACCAACTTTAGTCTCCGAACACTTTTCAAGGGTAGCCCCATGTTTATAAATAACTCATGGCGGCAAAGATACTTAATACCCCTTCCTTCTATTTTCCTTACAACAAACTGTGAGGTGGGTTGGATTGAGAGAGAGTGACTTGTCCAAAGTCACCCAGCCAGCCTTTATGCCCAAGGCAGGACTGGAACTCAGAGTCTCCTGATTCCTAGGCCAGCATCTTAACCACTAACCAGTGATGGCTAACCTTTTCGCCACCAAGTGTCGAAACTGGAGCATGTATGCATGTGCTGGAGTGCCGGAACCCGGAAGAGAGCAGCTGACTGTGCACATGTGCGCAGCGGCCAACTGATCTTCCGGGTTCCATCATGCGCATGAATGCAAGACAGCTGATCTGGCACGCATGCGCACTGGCCAGCTGCTCTCTTCTGGGTTCCGGCGTGCATGTGCACGTTGGAACACGGAAGAGCAGCTGGCCACCACGCTAAGGCCTCTTATTTCAGAGCTTGTAGCATTGGTCAGTTAGAAAGCTGATTAATACTGAAGTCTAAATTATATTCAGGCACATCTTCTTGTGCAATAATGCCCTAAAATGCCCTCCACATTATTGCCAGTCTAAGGAAATGAAAGTGGCCTATTATTTGAATGAGAAGTAGCAAAGACCAACTGGCTGGCACGCATGTGTGCGCCAAAACCCAGAAGGGCAGCTGGCTGCCACATGTACCCACAGAGAGGGCTCTGCATGCCACCTCTGGCACATGTGCCAAAGGTTCGCCATCATGGCACTATACCAAACTGGCTCTCTTCTTCTAATTTGTCAGTGTCTTTTTAAAGTTGCAATAAGTGGGGCTTGGCCAAGGCAGAATAATAATATGTGATCAGTGTATTGTGTCAAGTGTACTTCCTGTGATCTGGATTCTATGTGCCTGTTAATACAGTTAATAGAGCTCAAAATAGCATCTGCCTTTTAGCAGCTGCATCACACCACTGTCTTATGTTCAACTTGTGATTTATTAGAACACCCAAATCTTTTTCATCTGTACTTCTGCAAAGCCAAGTCCCCCCCCCACATCTAATACTTGTTTCCTGCATGTTTTTCTCCCCAGGTGCAAAGTTTCGTGTATCTCCCTCATATCCTTTTCAGCCTACTGTTCAAGCCTGTCTAGATCTTTCTGAATCTTGTCTTTCTCTTCTGAAGTGCTAGCCACTCCTCCTATGTTTGAATCATCTGCAAATTTGATATTCATCCCCTTAATCACTTCATCCAGGTCATTAATAAAAATGACAAATAGCACTGCGCATTGCACTTAATCTCTCTCTCCCCCCATCTGTTTAGTTTTCACCTGTATCTCAGAAACTGCAAGAGTGCTTTGTAATTTTATATGATTAGTTTTCTCCATTCGTCTTGATTTACAATTACTTCCATAGAATAGTTTCATCCTGTAATCTAAACCTTATATTCTGCTATTGCATTTTGCTTAGTTCAAAGTACATTATATCCACGGGGTTTCTCAGGCCATGATGGCATCAAGTCCTGGGGAATACACAGATT